GTACCTTACCAGAAAGGGACTGATTTTTAAAGTTCTTTTGATTTATACAATGTCCCTGGACATTCAGAATCCCATGAGTTCAGCACAGAAGGCATCAAAGTGGTCTACTTGCTCCCAAACATATTTCTAATTCAGCCACTAGATCAGGAGGTTATAAAGATTGTTAAAGCTCATTACACATGGTTGTCTATGGAAAGAGTCATCAAAACTATGGGAGAGAATCTTGATAGAACATTATGAAAGTCTGGAAGGATTACACATATGAAGGTGCTATCATTGTTACAAAAAAAGGCATGAAAACCATCAAGCCTGAAATAATAAATTTCTGGTGGAGAAAACTGTGTTTACATACCATGCATGACTTCACAGGATTTATGATAAAGCCAAACAAGGAAATCATGAAAGAGATTGTGGATATGGCCAAAAAATGGTAGAGAGTGAAATGTTTTAAGATGTGGATCTTGGGGAAATTTAAGAGCTAATAGACAACACACCAGAAGAACTAATAGAAGATGACTTAATGGAGATGAGTGCTTCTGAGCCAGTGTCAGACAATGAAGAAAAAGACATAGAAAAAACAGTGGCAGAAAAACAAATTATTACACAATATGGCAGAAGGGTTTTGATTACTTAATGCTGCTTTTGACTTCTTTTATGACATGGAGCCTTCTATGATATGGGCACTGAAACTAAAGCAAATGGTGAAAGACAGATTGATACAGTACAGAAACATTTTTAGAGAAATGAAAGAGCAAAAAATTTCTAACAGAAATTATGATCTATTTCCATATAGTTACACCAAGTGTGCCTGCCTCTCTTGCCTTCCCTTCCTCTTTTTGCCTCTGCCACTGCCGAGACTGCAAGAACAACTCTCTTCCTCCTCCTCCTCCTCAGACTACTCAATGTGAATAACACAAAAAATGAAAACTTTCATGATGATTCATTTCTACTTAATGAACAGTAAATAATCATCAGGCTATGCAGGCAATAAATTTATCTGTTATTTATGTGTGTGAGTGTCTTCATGCAAAAATCTAATAACTGTACTGCCAGAACTGTATGAGATGTTTTTGTGTCATCACCATCATCACCTAAGTATTCATCTTTTAAAACACTGTGTGCAAGACCTGTAGGTAAGTGTGTGATAGTTAACATAAAATTAATAGCCCTGACTGGTTGGCTCAGTGGGCTTGAGCACCAGACTGTGAACCAAAATGTCACTGGTTTGATTCCTGTTCAGGGCACACACCTGGGTTGTGGACCAGGTCCCCACTTGGGAGCATGTGAGAAGCAACTGACTGATGTTTCTCTCACACCTTGATGTTTACATCCTTCTTTCTCCCTCCCTCATCTCTCTGAAAAATAAATAAAATATTTAAAAATAATTTTAAAAATCTAATAATGTCTTAGTTTTCTTGCTGTTTTATAACTTCACTCTCAAAGATTTACATTACCATGTAGTATATCTCTATTTCATAATTGGAGAAATAGCATATTAGCCTCTCATCACAGGCAAATGATTTAAAAAATGTAACAATATTTCTAATGCTGTATTATGAATATGACTGTAATACTATGTGTCATAAAATTTTATAAAGATGTATTTATTAGTGTATAGGCTAGTCTACTATTTAGCAATGTATCGATTATACTAGGTTATCATAAAGCAATCATATTGCTGCTTTTTCATAATCAATGCATGAATCATTCACTATAACTATAAATAATAAATATGATTTTTTCACATTTTTGATGTCTAGTATTAGTAATACATATAACATCTACAGTGTTTTGTGTCATATAAGACAATATTGATGTAGGTTCTGATAGACAATTCATCTTGTAAAGAGATGAAGTTAACTTATTGTATGAATAAATAACACTACAGAACTGTACATATTTTTTTCTTCCTTACAATTTTCTTCATAACATTTTCTATAGTTTGCTTTACCCTAAGAATATAGTATATAATACAAATCACATATAACATGTGCTAACTGTTTATGTTACTGGAAAAGTTAATTTTAGGCTATTAAGCTTTGAGGGAGTCAAAAGTTATACCGAGATTTCAGTTGTGAGTGGTGTTGGTGCCCATAAACCCTCACGTTGCTCAAGTATCAACTTTATTTGTTTTTATTTCTGCCATCTTAGTATGGGTTTAGATATTTTCCCACCTGATGTTATTGCCAACTTTTGGATTTGTTTTATTATACTATAATATTCCTTGGTAAATTTGAAAATTAAACATTCTTCTCTGTTAATACCTTTGAATATACAAAAATTATGTAGGCTATTTATCAGAGCTTAATATCAAATATCATTTTTGTCTTTCTCCTGGACAATGAAAAAGTTTACTATCAACACTCTTTACTCATATACTATTGTTTTGTGCATTTTAGTTCCATAAATATTCTGAGCTCTAGAATACAGTGTTTTCTTGTTGTTTTATACAATCAATATTTACTTATATTTAACTACACATTTACCATTTTTATTGCTCTTAATTGTTTTCTTTTTCTCCAACCATTCTATCCATGGCCATTTCCTTTGTTTTATGAAGAGTCATTAGTGTTCCCTTAAGTGAGTGTGCTTTTGCCATGTTCTCTTAGTTTTTGCTTGTCTGATAATGTCTTTATTTTACTTCAATTCTTGAGGTGTAAATTTGTTGAGTATATAATTCTAATTTAGCATTCACTTTTTAATCAGCACATTAAAACTATTATTTCAACCACTTCTGTCTTTCATTGTTGAGAATGCATTCATACACCTTATTGTTTCTTTATTGAAGTTGATCTCTATTTTTTTCTTTAAGGTTGACATTGTTTTTATTTCTGCAGTGTCACTACGATGAGTCTAATGTTGATTGCCTTTTATTCATTCTGCTTGAGACTGTTGAACCCTCTAAATGTGAGACTCAGTGTTTTTCATCAATTCTAAAAGCCATTATTTCTGCAAATACTGTTTTTCTGCCATTTTTCTCACTTTGTGGAACTCTTCTCCCTTTATATTATTATATCTTCTCCACCATTCCAATTTTTCTTTCTTCACCCATCACAGTTTCTTCTAACCAACCTCTAGTAATTCTTTTTTTAGCCATATCCAATCTGCCTTTGAGTTCTTAGGTTTTCACGTTATGCTAAACCTCCAGCTTTCCTAGTTTCTGAAATCTTAAATGTCACTCTTTATAGTTTGCAGTTTCTTGCTGAAATATTTAAGCTCAGCATGTAATTTCCATGTGCAAATTACAAAGTCAGTTTAAAGTCTATGTCGGTAATTCAACTATCTTGAGTGACTCTGGGTTCATTTTTATTACCTTTCATTTTGTCGTATCTGGTTCATGTTGCCTTGTCTCTTTATTCACCTGTTTATTATTATATTCCAGTCACTGTAATTAAAAATTATTGAAAGAAATAATTTGAAGACTAGGGTGATGATCTTTTTCACCTATATCAAAAAATTTAGAGACATAAAGAATGTAAAATCACATTAATCCAATTCTCAGACTAAGATTTTTCTTAGTTACATAGGTGACGTGAATCAGGCCTGAATGTAACAAGGGTGTTTAATCCTGGCCCATCCTTATTTCTAGTATACAGACCTTTGGTATCGAAAAAAATAAGTTCAAGTTGTTTAACCCTTGCCAGGTTCTATATTCTTACCATGGTTTTCCTCTCTTCATAAGTTTGTAAAATGAGCTTCTTAACTTGTCAGCCACAGCTTCAGGTTTACAAATGCATCACTGGCAGAATGAACCAAAAGCCATGATAATTTTTCCTGGATTTCTGTCTCTTTCTGGATCCTTCACTATCTTATTAGCTTCATGACACTTATGGTATTTTTTTCATATTTTAGTTGTTTTTAGTGCAAGACTCACTATTAGAAGCTGATGCCCCAAATATTCTAATTAAATTTAGCTATGCATTTCCTTTGTAAGCACCATAAGAAATGGCATTTTTCAGATGAGTTCTTCAGGGTAGAGGAGGCAAAATCTGTGAACACTTGAGTATGTAGGTCAAACTGTGTATATATATTCACTTTTTTTGTGATATAAGTATCATTGTATTTTGTCCAAAAGTGTGTGTGCATGCATTCACCTATAATAGAAAAATCTTAAAACTTAGATCAATTTATATTATAGATAAACCCAAAGTCGAAATCTTTAGATGATATCAGAGAAGACTGTAAACTTTACCAGAATCTTTTACAGAAGAATAACTTGAAAAAAAGAATTATTTAATGAGACACTAAATATGTAAGTTCCAACTGCCAGAGAGGAAAAGAAAAGTAAGAGAATTGTAAAAGCTCTTATGTTCCAATTGGTTAAATTTTGTGTCTTGAATATTAGCATTGTTAAGGCATTTATGAATATTTTAAATACAAGCGATAAGGTGATCATTTCTCTTCTTCAACCTCCCCCAAATCTTAAAACAAATCAAGAGACTTTTCTCTTTTTCAGTAACCAAAATCCAAGGAGATATTTGAAAATTAAGAGGAAATAGTATATTTTAGGTTATTAACAACATAAATTTGGCATGTTTACTTCATGAAAATTCCTATTGCACTGTTAATATTTCCACTAAAGAACATATGGAAATACAATAAAAATGTTAAGATTAATATTCTAGGGTAGATTGATATCTTATAACATTTAAATGTTACGTTTTTTAATTTAGATTTTTTCACATATCTTTGTCATCTTCAAATCTTTTTAAACATCTTAAAGGTTTTGTGTCTGTGTTGCAGAATTCATTGGCATATTGATGCATAAAATAAATTAGCATAATAAGTAGAAAATTTTCACATAAATACTCATATACATTACATTCTTCTATTATTGTTAACCTAAATGTCAGATAAATAGGTTAAGAATAATTATTAAATATAACAATCCCGATTACACACAAATGTTACCAGTCGATGTCTCTTCGTTGTTCACAGTACATAATCCAAAGGTACTGAGCATAGCCATTGCAATTCTAATGGCCCAGAAAGTTATTTACCTATAGGAATTGCCCAAACAATAGCAATCTTCATGATGGCCTTAGTCCGCAAATTGAAACGGCTATGCTCAACAGGATTACGTATTGCTGCATACCGATCCAGCGAGATAGCGCAGAGGTGCATGATGGACGCTGTAGAAAATAAAACATCTAAAGAAATCCAGATGGGGCACAAATACCTAGGTAGTGGCCAGACATAATCTGAAAGAAAAGAGAGAGAACACAAGAACATATATGTACAAATGATGCTGACTGTAGTTTTAAATTTTAGTCTACTTATTTTCTCTCTCATAATCTAAGCATTTAATTTCATGTTATTTAATTTTTTTGTTGTCCAAGAACAGTCATCTACATTTCCCCCCACAACTACCCCCAACCCAGCCATCCCCACCTTCCTCCCCCTCATCCAAACACCTGTTAGATTTGTCCATGTGTCCTTTATAGTTGTTCCTGAAAACCCTTTTCCCCTATCCCCCATTAGCTCCTCCCATCTCCCATGTGGTTACTGTCAGATTGTTCTTAATTTCAGTGTCTCTGGTTATATTTTGCTTGTCTGTTTGTTTGTTTGTTTGTTTTTATTAGGTTCCAATCATAGGTGAAATGATATGGTATTTGTCCCTCACCACCTGGCTTATTTTACTTAGTATAATGCTCTCCACTTCCATCAATGCTGTCACCAAAGTTAGGCGCTGCTTCTTTAGTTCTGCTGCATATAGTATTGGATTGTGCAAATGTGCCATAGTTCTTTGGTCTATTCATTTACTGATGGGCACTTAGGTTGCTTCCAGCATGTGACTATTATAAATTGTGCTGCTTTGAACATTGGGGTGCATTGATTGGTGTTACCGGGGTCTTAGGATATAATCCAAACAGTGGAATTGCAGGTTTCAAAAGGCCATTCCATTTTTAGTTTTCTGAGGAAATTCCATACTGTTTTCCACAGTGGCTGCACCAGTCTGCAGTCCCACCAACAAGGCACTAGGGTTCCCTTTTCTCCACATCCTCCCCAACACTTGTTTGTAGATTTGTTTATGATGACCACTCTGACAGGTGTGAAGTGGTGTCTCAGTGGTTTTATTTTGCATCTCTCTGATGGGTAGTGATGCTGAGCATCTTTTCATATGTCTCTGGGTCCTCTGTATGTCCTTGGAGAAGTGTCCCTTTGGTCTTTTGCCCATTTTTTAACTGGATTGTTTGTCTTCCTTGAGTGAACTCATGTGAGGTTTTATATATTTTGGAGATCAAACCCTTGTCTGAAGAATCATTGGCAAATATGTTTTTCCATAGTGTTGGTTCTCTTTTCATTTTAATGATGTTTTATTTAGCCATGAAGAAGCTTTTTGTTTTGATGAGATGCCATTTGTTTATTCTTTCCTTTATGGCCCTTGCTTTGGAGACATATCAGTGAAAATATTGCTGCATGGAATATCTTGAGATTTTCCTGCCTATGTTCTCCTGAAGGACTTTCATGGTGTCAAGACTTATATTTAAGTCTACTATTCACCTTGAATTTATTTTTGTGTATGGTGTAAATTGGTGGTCGAATTTCTTTTTTTTTTTTTTTTTTTGCATGTAGCTGTCCAGATCTCCCAACACCATTTGTTGAAGAGGCTATTTCTACTCTATTTTATGCTTCTTCACCTTTTGTCAAATATTAATTGACCACAGAGACTTGGGTTTATTTCTGGTCTGTGTGTTCTGTTCCATTCGTCTATGTGTCTCTTCTTATGCCAGTACCAGACTGTTTTGATTACAGTAGACTTGTAATACAGTTTTGTATCAGGTATTGTGATCCCTTCTACTTTGTTCTTTTTCAAAATTGCTGCAACTATTTGGGGGCATTTATGGTTCAATATAAATGTTTGAAATGTTTGTCCTATATCTGTAAAGTATGTCACTGGCATTTTAATAGAGATTGCATTGAATCTATAATTTTTTTTTGGTAGTATGGACATTTTGATGATGTTAATTCATCCAATCCATGAACACAGTACATGCCTCCATTTGTTTGTGTCTTCCTTAATTTCCTTCTTTGGTGTTGTGTAGTTTTCTGGACACAGGTCTTTTACTTCCTTGGTTAGATTTATTCCTAGGTATTTTATTTTTCTTGTTGCTATATCAAATGGGATTTTCTTCCTGATTTCTGTTTCTGATGTTTTATTGTTGGTGTACAAAAAATGCCTTCTATTTCTGAATATTCACTGTATCCCACTGTTTTGCCAAATTCACCTTTTAGATTGAATAGTTTCTTGGTGGAATCTATAGGATTTTCTATGTATACTATCATGTCATCTGCAAACAATGATGGTTTTACTTCCTCCTTTCTAATTTGGATACCTTTTACTTCTTTTTCTTGTGTGATTGCTGTGGCTAGGACTTCCAATATTATGTTGAATAGGAGTGGTGAAAGTGGACAACCTCCTCTTGTTCATGATCATAGTGGGGAAGATTTTAGTTTTTGCCCATTGAGTATGATGTAGGCTGTATGTCTCTCATTTATGGCCTTTATTATGTTGAGGAATGCTCCCTCTATTCCCACTTTGCTGAGTGTTTTTATCATAAAAGGGTGTTGTACCTTATCAAAAGCTTTTTGTGCATCTATTGATATAATCATGTGACTTTTGTCTTTCCTTTTGTTTATGTGATATATTACATTTATTGATTTACAAATATTGTACCATCCTGGCATCCCTGGGATGAATCCCACTTGATCATGGTTTATGGTCTTTTTAATATATTGCTGGATGTGGTTTGCCAATATTTTGTTGAGGATTTTGTGTCTATGTTCATCAGTGACATTGGCCTGTATTTTCTTTCTTTGTTATGTATTTATGTGGTTTTGGGATTAAGATGATGCTGGCTTCATAAAAAGAGTTTGAGAGTGTTCTGTCTTCTTGGATTTTTTGGCATAGTCTTTGAAGGATAAGGATTAGCTCTTCCTTAAATGCTTTGTAAAATTCTCCTCTGAAATATTTCAGTCTGGGGCTTTGTGTGATGAGTTTTTTGATTACTACTTCAGTTTCATTGGCTGTTTTTGATCTGTTCAGGCTTTCTGCTTCTTCTTCATTAAGTTTTGGAAAATTATATTTTTCCAGAAATTTGTCCATTTAATCCAGGTTTTCAAATTTCTTGTCATACAGTTTTTCATAGCAATTTCTTACAATCCTCTGTATTTCTGTGGCATCAGTTGTATCCTCTCCTCTTTTCTTTCTGATTGTGTTCATTTGGGTCCTATCTCTCTCTCTCTCTCTCTCTCTCTCTCTCTTTTTTTTTTTTTTGCTTAGAGGGTTGTTGATTTTGTTTATCTTTTCAAAGAACCAGCTCCTGGATTTATTGATCCTTAGAATTGTGCTTTTAGTCTCTATGTCATTTTATTCTGGTCTGATCTTGGTTATTTCCTTCCTTCTACTTGCTCTGGGCTGTCTTTGTTGTTGTTCCCTGAGTTCTTGTAGTTGCATGGTTAGGTTCTTTATTTGAAATATAATTATAACTTTTTTAGGTAGGCCTGTATTGCTCTGAACTTCCCTCACAGGACTGCCTTCACAGTGTCCTAAGTTTTGGATTGTTGTGAGTTCATTTTCATTTGTTTCCAGAAATTTTTATTTCTTCCCTAATCTCATTCTTGACCCATTCCTTGTTTAATAGCTTGCTATTTAATCTCCATGATTTTGAATATTTTGTGTTTTTTTCCTTGGGGTTGGTTTCTAGTTTCAGTCCCTTGTGATCTGAGAAAATGCTTGGTATGAGTTCAATTTTCTTGAATTTGTTGAGGTTTGTTTTGTGTCCTAGCATGTAGTCTATCTTTGGAAATGCTCCATGTGCATTTGAAAAGAATGTGTATTTTGCTTCTTTGTGGTGAAAGGTTCTAAATTTATCAGTTAAGTCTATTTCATGTAGGGTAGTGGTGTCAAACTCATTTTCACTGTGGGGCACATCAGCCTCTTGGTTGCCTTCAAAGGGTCAAATGTAATTTCAATCCCTTAATAGTTAAGGAGTAGTTACATTTATACAGTCCTAAAATTGTTTCAGCCCTTTGAAGGCAACTGCAAGGATGATGTGGCTCCCAGTGAAAATGACTTTGACACCCTGAACTAAGACATTGTTCAATGCCTCAATATCTTGGTTTGGAAAACCTATTCATTTTTGAGAGTGGGGTGTTAAAATTCCCTACTATAATATCTGTCAATATCTTTCTTGAAGTCCTCTAAGATTCTCCTTATATATTTGGGTGCTCCTATGTTGGGTGCATATATATTTACAAGATTTATATCTTCTTAATGCATTCTCCCCTTGAGTATTATGAAGTCACCTTCTGGGTCTCTTTTTATGGCCCTTGGTTTGAAGTCTATTTTGTCTAATATGAGTATTGCTACTCCACCTTTTTTTCTGTTCATTTGCTTGGAACATTTTTTTTCCATCCTTTCACTTCCAGTCTGTGTTGGTCTTTTGTTCTGTGATGGGTCTCTTGTAGGCAGCATATGTGTGAATCATTTTTTTATCCATTTGGCTATTCTATATCTTTTGATTGAAACATTTAATCTATTTATGTTTAAGGTTATTATTTATAGGTACTTATTCATTGCCATTTTACTTCCTTTGTACCTCTCTCTCTCACTGTTTTTCTTCCTTTTCTTAAAGCAAACCCTTTAGCATGTCTTGTAGTGCTGGTTTTTTCGAGGTGTGTTCTTTGAGGCTTCTTTTGTCTGGGAAACTCCTTATTTGGCCTAAAATTTCAATTTAGAGCCTTGCTGGATAGAGTAGTCTTGGTTGCAGGTCTTTGTTTTTCATTACTTGGAATATTTCTTGCCAATCCTTTCTGGCTTGGAGCATTTTCAATGAGAAGTTAGCTGCTAGTCTTATTTGGGCCACTTTACTTCCTGCTTTCCACTTGCTGCCTTTAAGATTCTCTCTTTTTCTTGGAATTTTGCCATTTTAATGATGATGTGTCTTAAAGTGGGACTCTTTCGGTTCCTCTTGATTGGGACTCTCTGTGTTTCCTGGACTTGAGTGACTTTTTCTCTCATCAAATTAGGCAAGGTTTCTGTCATTACTTTTTCAAACAGGTTTTCTATCCCTTGCTCTTATTCTTCTCCTTCTAATCTAAACATTTTAAAGAAAGTGAAATTTGGGAAACATTTTCCATAGCAATTGTGGTGGTGATGATAATTCCTTCAGTGTTACATACATTACATACATTATTT